TGAAGACATTGTTGGTCTGCTTTTGGGCATTGTCTCATTATGGCGGAAGTCCTAAGGGTTGGAGTTGGCGCCGGGGTCGGCGCCTTCGATTTTGTGCTAGCTCGTTCCGGTCTTTATGTGCTTGTGAAGTTGCTTCCGTCCGGGGTTTCCCAGAGCTTACTGATTTTATGGAGCTTGGCGGATCACGCCTTTGGCAGCTTCTTGTCTGGGGTACGACATAAACCGGGCATGACGACAGATGGAATATTTGTTGCATACTTGTGAAGGAGCTTCCATTGGGACAAGACTGGACTGAACCTCCGGGAGAGTGCGTTATCCGAGCTGGGTGTTGTTCCTTAAATCCCACAAGTGTAGGGGTACCCGGGAAGGTGCTTGGTCGTTGCGTAAGCCTTGCCGGCTTCCTGCCGTGGCAGGTTTTGGTGCGATCCCTCCGCTACCGGGATCTTTCGGCTTTGGTTCGAGTTGATGTGGCCGTAGAACCGCATCTTGATCTTTCGAAGAGCCCGGATTGGGAACAGCTGGTATTCGGATTGGCATAGCGCCAAGCTAAACTGTGGATGATGAAGGAGTGGTGACTTATCGCCGATGATTTGAGCCAGGTCGGAGCATGCCTTTGAAGGAAGCATTTGTTTGCAAGGACTTATGCCAGGGACACCATCTTTCTGGAAGATCTAACTTGAGCGAAGGTAGTCGGGCGTGGTGCCCGACTTGTTTACCGCTGATGCCCCGAAGAATGCCCGTTATCGGAGCGTCGACCTTGCCATTCTCCTTTGTAATGTTTTTTGCAGATTTATGCTTGTAGACTAGAGCGCACCTCTCGCGCATATATATATATATATATATATATATATATATATATATATATATATATGTGAGAGGAGTCATGAATTTCTTTACCTCCATTGTATTGTGTTTGATCCGACGGACTGGTTTCCGTGTTTCGGCGGGACCCTGGCGGGTTTGGAACCAGTCCACATAGGCCAGAGAACCTTTGAGTGTGGTTTGCTAATGCAGGCAGCCGTCGGAACCTTTTCGTTTTGTACAGCTGTTTCTAGCCTCGAGTCGGGTTTTTGTCGAGCTTGCCTGTCCTTCGGTCTTTTTGCGTCGTGAGGCCGACCGGAGTTGGGTCCGGGAGGCCCCTCTTGGAGAAACAGGTATCCTGCATTCTGTGCCGAATTGCACTCCCTTTTTTCCGTTTTGACGGGTTGTTGTTTCAGTTGGAGGACAGGGCGAGTGAGCTGGAGCAACTTTGGGGTGAAGTTGGCAAAGCCAAACATGAATTCATTGAGCTACACGCGCGTGAATATCCGTTCCGAGGCGAAAAAGGAGAGCTCAGGCCAGGGTTTCCGCACTTGAGGCGCAAAATTAGGCTGTTCGTGCGGATGACTCTGCCCAGGCGAAGATGATCATGAAACTATCGTCCGATCTTTCGGGGCGAAAACCGAGGTGGTGAATGCTCGAGCCGAGGAGCGATGAATGATACCGAGGTACGGGGAAAAAATGGT